AACACAAAAGAGAATGCGATAAAAATTGCTTTCAAGACTTGACGTGTCTCAAAGGGGAGTATATGAAATTGTATAGTGCGTGGTAACTTCGTTTTTGTAGAGTTGTTGTTCTATCGGCAACACTAAAAATCAGCTGTTTTTGGAAGGTTATTTGACATTGGAATTTTCCACTGGAACTTAATGGAATACTTAAATTTTAGAGATCTCGCTCATTTTTTGTTTATAAGCTGGACAAAGTGCGGATGTTGTTTTACTTATTTCTGTGCTTTCTCAAAACAAACACGGCTGGCTAAAGTGGAATATTTTGGTAACGAGAAAAAATTGGAAGGAAATAAAAAAGAATTGCCGCTAAACAAACAACATTCGATAATAAAAAAGAAAGCTTCAGCGTGGCGTGATTTTCAATCTCAAGAGAAATAGGCTTGCCTACAATTTACATCATCCAGTTGCACTTGTGCATTGAAAATAGAATCATCGTAAGCAGCATTCGTAAACAAGATAGCCGTTGCGTCAGTAGCTTGCAATTATTTGTCTTTTTATTAATTTAACAAGCACAATTTGAATAACAATGAATCGTGTGGCTATGGGATCGGTGCGTGTGGCAAGAAGCGGGAATCTCTTAAATGACGCATACGTCGCTGCACCACAATCTGCTATGGCAACGAGTAATGTAAATGTTTCGCACAACAATAACAATCAGTTAAACTTATCTACGAAAGCTCCTCTAATAAATAGAAACTTGACACCGGTTGCTGACACCGATGCATTGAAAACAAGCAAAAATCCCCAACTAGCCGCCGAGATAGTTAAACAATCGAACGTAGTCTGCTTTGATGTAGACTCAACAGTTATATGCGAAGAAGGCATCGACGAACTTGCAGATTTTTGTGGAAAGGGTTCGGAAGTAGCACGGGTAACAAAAGAAGCTATGGGCGGGGCAATGACATTCCAAGATGCCCTAAATATTAGGCTTAACATTATAAAACCAAGTCAAAAACAGATCATCGACTTTCTGAAACAGCGTCCTCACACCTTAACGAAAAATATTCGATCTCTAGTGGATAAATTCAAGTCAGAAGGGAAAGAAATCTATTTAATTTCAGGAGGTTTTCATTGCCTCATAGATCCAATAGCAGATGACCTGGGAATACCAAGAGATCACGTATTCGCTAACAAATTAATGTTTTATTTTAATGGTGATTATGCCAGCTTCGATACCTCACAACCTACTTCTAAAAGTGGTGGTAAAGCAGAGGCTGTGTCGATTATTAAACGGTCCTATCCGAGTGCAAATATTACAATGATCGGCGATGGAGCGACTGATTTGGAGGCTTCTCCCCCAGCAAATAATGTTATTGGTTTTGGCGGAAACGTTCTGCGTGATGAGGTCCATAAACGGGCTCAGTATTATATTATGGATTTCGCCGAGCTTATGTGATAACACCATGAAGAAATACATATCGCCGTTTAAAGTACAAAACCGCGAACAAAGCGGTTTTGCATTTTGTTCATACGCGGTTTTGTACTTTAAACCACGATATGTATATATGTATAGAACGTATTATATAATTGCATTACTGGGAGCAATTAGTCTAGTGTAAAGATATTGCAAAGTATAAATACTTATGCTAATAATTATCGAATATACATAGATACATATTGATATGAAGTTCCGAAGTGTAATGGAATCATTCATAAAACAATAAAATAGATTTATAAAGCGTTATTAAGTGAAATTTTTTGTAGTTTCTACTTTTTAAGCATTATTAAATCTATTTTAATATTGATGAATTTATATGTAATATTTTTATAGGAGAAAGAAATGATTGCTATTAATTCGTATAATAGTAGATTATTTATAAAAGTATAATTCCCTAAAAAACCAAAAACTAATACTTGATTTGTAATGCCTGGAAATCTGGTGGATAAAGCAGTCAAACTAATTAAAAATAGCACTGAAAAGAGAAATTAGCCAAATGTAAATAACTTTAATGATTGTACAAATAGTTCAATACGGCTTTTGTTAAAAAGTTAGCGTAATACAAAAATGAATACATCTACTAAATGCATGTGATTAGAAAGTTTGCAAAATGCCGATTACGTTTTATTTTCGTTATGGAAATACAATGCTGCAGAAATACATATCTGCAAATCTTATTTATTTTGTTTCGTTGACAACAGTTTTCGCTTGACAACATTTGATTGTAACGGTGATCCATACTGATTATTATTCAATCAGTTTTGTTTACAAATACATACATACAGTGACGAACAAAAGTATTGGCACAGTGAATTTTTCGCAATATATGCAAAGTTTTATATTCTTATTTATTTTCTATATATATATTTTTTTTAATAAATTCAACACCAAAAGCCAAAAAATAAAATCTAAACTTTGAGCAAAACTCGGAAAATTCAATAAATTTGCATACTAATTCGGAACATTCTATTCAGATTTTTAAGACAAATATAAGTAAGCAGTTTCATAACAAAGGGCAGGCTTGAAATTGGTAGAAAGTCGCGTTAATTATTGACATTTTTTTCATGCAGGTTCTTCCATAAAAAGTATGTTCGACAATTATTTTTTGTATGGAGAAAATGAGCAACACCTTCCACTAAAAAATTTACAAAAATCACCGCAATTTTCCAGCAACTTCAAACCTGCACTTCGTTAAACTAAAATTGAATGAGCTATAAAACCACATAGTTAGAATTTTTCAATAGAAAGTTGCACATTAGTATGGAAATTTATTGAATTTTCCTGAGCTTCGCACAAAGTTTAGAGATTTTATATTTATGGTTTCCGGTGTAAAATGACCTACATTTTTATGAAACCCATTTATTTGCATGGTAGACATTGTTTTTTACGTTTCATTTGATATCGAAATTTACAAAAGATTGTTATTATTGTTCACTACGTTTGAAAATAACGACCTCTGGACGGGTAAAACATCAGCCAGGGAAATGCATAACATTGGATGAAGTCCAAATTGTAAAATGTTTGTTGCTATTGATGTGCGCATGTTTATATGTATAAATACATACTACATTATGCGAGATCATAGAAAAAACTTCGATGAAAAAAAAAATGAAAGCGTGAACGAACCCAGTGACACGTTATTTTTAACCGACTTCCAAAAAAGGAGGAGGTTATCAGTTCGTCGGATTTTTTTTTTTTAATGTAAGTTACCGCATAACTTTGGACCGATTTCGATAATTCTTTTTGCATCGGAAAGGTAGTGTCTCAGAGGTGGTCCCATACTAATCTGGTTAAGATCCGATCAGCGGATCATGAGATATATANGTTTTTTTTTTGCTAAAAATTACTTGTTATATATTAAGATAAGCACGATGCGAGAAGCAAAGAAAAAATTTTGAAAAAAATGACACGGGATTTTTATTTATTAAGACTATCGTAAATAAATTAGAATAAAAAACGTTGCATATATTGCGAAAATTCAATGTACCAATACTATTGTTCGTCACTGTATGTATGTATTGAGAAAACCGC